GAGAACCAGAACAGGGTGACCAATTTTCGGGTCAAACCGAACGATTCGTGCCGACCCGGCATTTTCTAAATTCCTGCATTAAATACATTCCACAGCTGCTACTTTCAAGAAGCAAACATCACCAGTTTCAATGGAATTCAAGAGGACTGGAAAAACAGCTGAAGCATTAATGGAAAATTGTCTCCAGACTCAAAACAGTTTGTAACAAGAAACGCCTGTTTGGACCGCGGAACACCTCCAGCAAGCAAACGAAGTATTTGTGTGTGTGGTTTGGTAAGGGCTGGCTCTAATTTTTGTTCACACAAAGCAAAATGGTGATTAAATGAAACTTGTGATCACTCGCAAGGCACCAAAAGAGATACAAATTAATATCTGAATATCGGATAAATTTTCAGAAAAAAATGACAATCAACCATGTGTGAAAAAATTATAGGCTGCAGAAAGAGAAAACATAATTAAAGATTTTGTCTTCAAAACAAAATAACCCAATAAGGAGAACTTAAAGAGGATATACGCATTCACAAAAGCGTTTTTACCATCTGCTATCAAACAAAAAAACCCAATAAAGAGAACTTAAAGACGATATATGCCTTCACAAAGCTCTTTTACCATCTGCTATCAACAAATCTGCTATTAACAAAGAAAATCTATTTACCCATCTCATTTATGCATGCATCCACAAGACAATAGAAGTAGGAAGATACAAATGGAGAACATGTGCAGACATCTCCAAGCGGTCCGTTCTGCCATAAAATCCTCCGACAAACATAAAATCTCAACATGTGACACCACAACCCTGTCATGGAAAAAGGCTCAAATTCCAAAAGAAATTGGCAGAACTATGAGAGCAACTCAACCTAATCTGAACTTTTCATTGGGGAGAATGACGTTTGGGTTTCGAATATGAGGTTTCAGAGGGGGCAGTTCTTTCCACTTTGAACCATTGCCATGGATCCGAGAAGAGATGCTCCATAATGTATCCCCAGCCTTGACTTTTTTAGTTTGTGGTGCCGATGATTTGGAGGCAGGCTGTTGGGATGATCTCGAAACAACTTTTGACGTCATAAATGAGTTCTTATTTGTCTTCCCCATCCCACTAGCTAGCAACCAGCGAGATCCAGATTGTTTTTGTGTCTCTGAGCCCCATAGCTTCCCCTTTCCTGGTGCAGTTTTCAAACCAGCAACATGAACCTCAGTGATCTTAAATTGAGGGGTACTAATCACATTTTCCTTCTCCAGTTCTTCATCTTTCTTCTCTTCTTTTGGCTTGGGTACCTTGGGTTCTTCAATTTCTTCACTGTTCCCTTTCTCCGAGACAGAGCAATATATCTTGGCCTTTGGAGGAACAAGAACCCTCTCGGCTTGTATCAGGGCGAGCATTGGAGCTCCCACTGCTTCATAATTGCGTAGTGGGTCCCTCAACTGAACTAGCAAAGCCACTGTTAACGTGTTGCCCAGGAAACCCCACCTTTTCCCTGAGCCTTTAGCCCTTCCTTCTGAGCCTCCCATGATCATGTCTGTACAGGTGGCATGATGGGCAGCTAGGATCTTTGAGGTCTTCTCACTGGCTTGATCTTCGTCAATTATTCCAGAATCTAGTCTCATCCATTCATCAAGAGTTATAGAGAGGCCCATTAAGCCATCAATGGGTTCATTGGTTTCCTTTATGTCTAAAAGTTGCAGCCCGCCAGTGCCCTCTAGGCCCAAAGACCCACTGATTTTAGCCCTAGTTCCCTCAAAAGCTGAGATTTCACCAAAGGATTGGGGACTGATATTGGAGGGGGCATCCTCTTCTGCCATGCCTGACTGAATTTTCAGACCTTCCATTGAAAGAGCTTCAATTTTCTCCATTGCAAAGGGAGCCAGGTCCTCTAAGGAAACATACTCTGAGTTGTTCAATGAACTAGGGCTTGCATTAGACCCATGATTGGTTGAACCTTTCCTTCTTCCACTTGAAGTCTCATATAAAGATGACCCAGACCCAATCTCAGATATCCCATGTAGCAAATCATGCCTGAAAAGGGTAAAAGATAAAGAAAAACAAAAATGAGCGCAATATTATCCATGTTACGTATATCTAAAAATGAAGCAACAATGCTAGCCAATTCCTGATATATAAAACTAATTTCCTAGTTTTCTGGTGTTATTTACAGTCTCAAGTGATATGAAAACTTGCGTTCTCTATGGGAATCTTATCCCACAAAACATTTGTTTCCTGGTCATACAGCCAGATCTTCTCCAGAAAATATCTGAAATCTTATCAGATATTCTCCTCTCTCTCTCTCTCTCTCTCTCACACGCATTGTAAATATGACATCCCACTTTCTCTGTCTCACTTTTTTTTTTAAAAAAAGTGTCTTTACTTACTTTGATCTCTATTGCCTGCACTCTTTCCTTACACATGGAAAGAACACCATCAAACTCCCAATTGAAGACTTTAACCCCAATTTTCCAATTTTTCCTTTTTTGACTAGTACCATACATCTACATGGACTATTTGAAAGTATTCGATTTAATTCACTGAAACAAACTATGGGGGCTTCACGGAATACAAAAGTTAACGTCATATTCAATGTTTACACCTTGCCTTTGATATGGTGTAGCATGTCAATACTCCCCAATACGGGCATGGACACTTCATATATACGTGTCGGGTTAAATGACAAGAATGTCTAATGCATCTGACATTAGAGGAGTATCTATATTTCAGACATTGGGTCTCTTGTCCTGGGAACCAAAAGAGGCTCTAGCAGGATTAGATCCTTTGACATCTTCAACTAAAAGAGTAAAGTCTACCCCTATGCTGTATAAGCTTCTATGAATTGACATGTTTATATGTATACAAGAAAAAATAAAAGGCATTGTCTTAGACAAAATACTACCTAGAAAATTATCGAAGTAACTACACATAAAAAATTTATGCAACATTTATTTATCTATTCTTAAAAAAATATTTTCAAATTATGTACGTTTAGGATTAAAATGATAAACTGGGAAAAATTAAACTAGTAATTAATGATAAAATATAAAAAAACAAAACATATATATTTATATTGAACATTGAATACATGATTTTTTATGTATATTTTCCTTTCAGTTTTAATTATTTTTGTTAGGATTTGTGATCCTCTAAGTAGAAACGATGTAGTGACCATAAAAAATCAAAGCAGCTAATAGGGAACAAAATTTTGAATTACGAATATTCTAGGTTGCTGTAATACAGTCATAAAGTTTCTTGTCTCACAGAATCATGGAATAAGATAACAAGTAGACTATTGTATAAATTGTCATATTTGTCGGTTAGAGAATACGCAAAAGTACCATCAAAAGTACCATTTAAGGATGGGATAAAGAAAATTCAATAATTAAAAATCTTACCACAAAAAACAGTTTTATTTTTTGAAATTTCTTAATCTTCCTATATAGGGTTATTCTAGGATACACCACACTAATGGTGAACTTACAATTTACCGCTCCAAAACTTTACCATAAAATGCTCTTATATATTCAAAATAACTTTTGATTATAAATAATTCATATATTTTAGGAAGGGTAGTTTTGTCATTTCAAAATCTCTCCAAACTCAATTTCAAATTTAAAAACATTCTATTAACTTTTTGAATGATGATTAAATTTTAAAAGTAATTCAAAATTACAAAAATTCCTTTTTCAAAATTTTCAAACAAGTTATTGTTAATGTAATTTTAATATTTGTAAGAACATTTTGTTGGCAAAAATTTCAGAGTAGGAAACCCTAAGTTCACTATAAATATGGAGTATCCTAGAATAACTTTACACATACATATGAAATATTGAAATAATAATTCAAGTTATGCTTCCAATTGTCAGATCTGGTTCGGGCAGTTGAGAGTGTACGTTACTTTTGACTTCTTTTTTTTTTTTTTTGATAATGTTAACCTCTAATTGTAAAAAGAGGAGAACAAAGAGGTAGGTGATCCACGAGGCGGATGCTTTGACTTTTATTTTATTTATTTTTCAAATCGGATCATGCTGAAACTTTTGGGCCTGTTTGATACATACTAGGGGTGCACAAAAGAATGTATAAAACAAATATTTCCCAAAACTTAAAATTACCAACCTTTAGAATGTGTCAAGGTGTTTTGGTCATTTTAAGTTTTTGGAAATATTTGTTTTATATTTTTTCTCTGGTGTGTGATGGTGTCAAGTAGATACGCCAAAAATTTCAACTTAATCTGATTTGAGTAAGGATTACAATTCAACTAGCAACATACACTCTCAACCGTTCGATCAAGATCTGACAGTTGGGTGCTGAAACTACTATTCATTTTAGGTAACAACCTATTGGTAGCTTTTCCACACACAGATTAAAATTGGGTGCATAACTGAAACTCCTATTCATTTTAGGTAACAACCTATTGGTAGCTTTTCCACACACTCACACATTAATTTACATCTATGGATGTGATAGACCATGTCTACTTTTTAGGCCAAAATACTAGACACTTGAGATACCATACCCATGTAAGCATCCATGTAACATTAGTTATATTTCATTTTAATTTTTTTCCTCAGTTCATTTCATATATTTCCATGATCGTGGTGCTCTATAATTTTCTCTTCATATTGTTTGTGCAACATCCTTCTTTTTTTAAAGGATTTTTTTTTTCTGTGCATTACCATGCTATGCACATAATTGCAACTCACTACAGTTAGCTAACAAATAAAAAGACGAAGAACAAAGAAAGATAGAAAATAAGACCATTTCATATAAAAAAGGTTAACAAATAGACAAACTATATGCCATACCTTTCCCTTTCCTCTAGAGCAGGCACAGCTTCCCAAGCCACCTGTGGCATCGTCTTCCCAGTTATATCTTCAAGAGGCATCAGCTTCTTTGCCTGCATCGTGAGCTTCTCAATTCCAACTGAAGCCAAACCTTGCAATATTTCCATGACACCTGAACCCATTTCAGCAGGCACCACAACTGGGCTTGAAACTTGCATAACCAGGCTCCCACTATTCTTACAGTTTTTGAAAAGAGATGGGCTCATCGACCTCACAAAGCCTCCATCTTTTGTTTGGACCAAAGGACCCAATCCATCTCCAAGAGGAGGCAACTCCAATGGCTCTTCAGGTGGGAGGTTGATGGGGCTCCCGAACCCACCGGAGCTATTAGGTGGGGAGTTTCTAAAGGCCTTCTCGTCCATGCCCCATTGTCTCATCAGAGCCTCGGTCTCAGCATCTTCAAGCATTTTAGCCCTCGTTTTGCTTTTTATGGTCTGTGCCGCTTTCTGGTGCTCAGTCTCAGCTGCATGTAAGATCGACGAGAGCTCTAGTTCTTCATCTGATTCCCAAAATGGAAGCTTCACTGCCTCCTGGGTCTCAAGAGAAGAGAAACCAAACTCTTGAGACAAACCCAAGTCATCGAAATGGGTCTCTTTCCCTTTTCCCATCCCTAAATCAAATACATTCCCACTTGTTAAGGAATCCTTCTCAAACTGTTTCCATAGACGTTCTCGTGGAGATTCAGAATCACTATCAGAGCTTAGTCTAAAAGGACTACCATGATCAAGCCCAAGCATGCTTAAGAATTCACTAGCGACCGATTCAGTGATATCATCGAGGCTACGTGATTTGTAATGCTTACCCACCTTATGTTCAACATTTGGGAAGATAGGAGGGGCACATGAATCAGGGTGTTTTGGGCTCGCGAAGGCAGCATTGAGCTCCTCGATGGCAACTGATTCATCGATACATAAGCTCTTCTCCTGTAGCTCACAATCATCGAAAGCAGAAGCTTCCTCTCCATTAAGGGCATCAACTAATTTATCACACTCTACCGAAGCTTCTTCTCCATTAAGGGAATCAACTAGTTTATCACACTCAATAGAAGCCACTTCTTCATTAATGGTTTCAACCAGTTTATCACACTCAAACCCATCCAGAACCAGACTAGGACATTTACCACTACTCTCTTCAGGCTTTGATTGATTTTCTAAACTCACCCCATAAGAATTAGAAGAACCTACCATAGCTTTCTCAATTTCAGTACTAGGAATACCATGTGTAGTATCCTCTAGAACCACTTTAGCTTGTGCGCATTGACTTATCTCTACGCCTTGCTCTATCACATTAAATTCTGGTTCTTCTTCTACAATATCATCTGCATCCTCTGTAGCTGATCCATCATTGTCAGATAAAATGTTTTTTGCACGTTTAGAATCAACAAGAGAATTGGCACTGTCCTTTTCAGTATCCCAAGGGCTTAGCTTCTCTCCCCTCTCACCCAGACCTAAATATTCCATCCTAAAACTTGGTAAGACCTCATTAAGAATCTTAGCATCATTACCAGATTGACCAAGCTCAATACTACTGAATCTTCGAATTGATCTTCGGCCATCAAGGAAATCAAAGCCCGAATCAGTTCTTGAGCTCATACTATTCTTCTCAGTAGCTGCAAATTTAACATTTGAATTACTTGACTTAGTGCTAGTCTTGCTACCAGATTCAATGGATTGAGCCTGAGAAACTAAATCATCAGTCAAAACGGAGAACCCAAAAGTAACAATCAAAATAGCACCTCTAGCTTTCCCTGAGAGTTTGAAATTAGTAGTCCAGCTACCTGAACTCTTATCTCCCTCTAATTCATCTAAGGTCTCCGGAAGTAACCTCGTGAGATCGATCCTATGCTTTCCAAGATCAAGCTGTGGATAACCCACTACACTAACATACAAAACAAAGTTCTTTGGTTCATACTTAGCCCTGTGATGGGTGCTGCCACCACTACCATAAACAGAGGATTTGAAAGATAAAACCTCTTCAAATTCTGCAACTCCATGGAAGACTTTTGAAGGTTTCGACATCAATCCTACATCTTTGTTTCGTCTCCAATGAACACATAAGCTTGAACCATTAAAATTCGACGACAACCCTTCTACCGAATGAACTTGTAGAGTGAAATTACACATGAAGCGACGATTTCTAATATGGGCTAGAGCTCTTAATGGCTTCCAATTCCACAGGCCTTTCTTCTCATGAGTGGTCGGTGCCTCTTTCTTGCTAAGAGATGGATTTTCTCTGAAAGCTTTGGTTTTTGGTTCATGGAAATTGGCTGGTAAAATGGGCTTTGAAGGGTTTTGATGGGATTTACCAGCAGATACTGCTCCAGACATGGAATTGGGAAGTGGGTTTGGATGGGATTTACTAGCAGATACTGCTCTAGACATGGAATTGGGAAGTGGGTTTTGGTAGAGGGCTTTGCTAAGAGCCTCTAGCTCCTGTAACAATTGCCCGCCACCAGAATCTCCACCATTTCTGTTACTACTATCAAACTTACCCAACATAGTTGGCTATCGAAAAACCCCAAAAAAGGAACCCCAATAAAATTATAAAAAATAAAAAAAGCCAAAGAAAAAAAAGAGAAACCCAACTAAATATACCCAATAAACTTTACAAACAACCCGGAATCCCCAAAAAAAAAGTCGAAAAAACCCTTAAAAGGAAATCCAAAAAAAAAAACCCAAAAGTTTACCTATTCATTCCACTTGAGGTGGATCACACAAAATGGAAAATGTAAGGTTTCCTCTTCCTGCGGGGTAAAAGAGATTGCAGAAATGATTTAGCCTGTATTACTGGATTGATAAGATCATCGACCCAATCAATTAAAACGAAAAAAAAAAAAACTGCGATTCCCCTCGTATATACGACCGACATAAACGCCACCCTAAATCAAGAAATCCAGAAAATTTCAGGAAAAACCCTAAAAATCCTCGTCTATTTTATAAAGAAGAACCCAGAATTCAAAATCTCACCGTTTAAATTTGAACTTTGGTATGCACATTGCTTGTTTTTTGAAGGCCTCCTTTTTTCTTGCCTGTACAAAACGCAACTGTGGCCCTTTGATGCCTTTGCTTGGCCGGCTTGCCTCATGCGTTTATTCATTTTTATCTAAAATGACTGCATTGCCCTTTGTCAGAATTGTATGTGACTACATTGTCCTTTGTCAGAATTGATAGGCTACCCTTAACTTTATCAGCATTAATTCCACTTCTATGGCCTAAAACTCTTTCTAATGACTTATGTCAAGAAGAATAGGGATGACAATTGGCCAGGTTACCAGCTAAGCCTAGTTGACCAGTTAAGCTCAGTTGGCCTTGCCCAAAAAGAATCTAAGGCTTGGGCCACAAAATGTGACTCGAGGACTGGGCTTGTGCCAAGCCAAGACAGGCTCCTTCCAACCCTTATTTCTTTATTTTTTTTACCTAGTTTGGTCTAATTTGATAGAGCTAGGGTCAGGTTTAGACCAGCCCTAAGGGGAATAGTGCTGGGCTAGGGCTAAAGCGGGTTTCGCCAAGCTCGGCATGTTGCCAACCCTACTCAAGACACGAGAGTAATTATTTTTTGCAATGAGACACTTTGTTCTTGTTTGGGAGGGTTAAGTTCGTAAGCATAAATTTTCCACAAGCATTTTAAGATAACCTTTTCATATTACTTTTAACATGGATCTCGTAAAATGCAATAATTTATCTCTTTAGTATGAGCGATTGGAATACAAACATATAGCATGTTATATTTAAATATAAATAAATTTAATTTTTGTTTTGGGCTAGACTGACTAAAGCACCTATGAGTATTTTGATTGATTGGGTAATTATAGTATTAAAAACCTTGTCTCATGATGATTTTTATCGGGCTCCAAATCCAACACTTTTGAAGGCCATTTTTATCATTGGAAGGACATTTTTATCATTAGAAGGTGGTTCTTCCCTCATTCTCCAAAATGGAGTGAACATATATGAAGGAGAGGTTTCGAAATTTTTTGCTAATATGATTAGGGCAATGTAGTCATTTATAAAAAAAAGTAGGGTACTTCATAAAATAATTCAATGTTTCATTTTTGTCAATTATGCAAAAAGTTTAGTGCAATTAATTCACAAATTTCTTGCATAAGGTTTTAGATGTCATATTAATAGGTACAGGTGTGCACTGCCAATGTGAATTCCCCTTGGCCCACCTTTCTCTCATTTGAATGTATAAGTCTGATTGTTAGTTGAGTTCGCATTGGTAAATCTTAGCTGTCCGTTTGACAAGCATACTCCAAAGTCCAAACCGTCCCTTTTTAATGAGTGTTTTCTTTTTAAATTCAACATTTGTTAACAAAACTCTTCCCACTTTCTTAGTAATAAAGTTACAAATCAATGAAATCTCATTTAATAAAAATATTGTGTTGCTCAAGGTTAAAACTCTCAAAATTTAAATTAACCTCATTTAATTGAAATATTGTGTTGTTCGAGGTTAAAACTCTCAAATCTAAATTGACCCACCTTCACTGTAATTGGATAGCCTTCTATAAACAATTAAATAAATTTTCTTGAAAGTTGGTGAGGAATGTAGCATATTCTTCCTTGCTTGTAGATTTTTGAAATTTCCCTTACAAATATACCCTTAAATGCCAAAGGGATGAAAGAAAGACAAGAAAACATTGGGAAACCAAAGTATCTTCCCTCCAAATATTTCAAAAAATTGAAAAGATTTCAAGAGAGAGAGAGAAAGAGAGAGAGATGTTGGATTTTAAATGGATGGTGGGGAATAGCCCTAGGGTTAAGGGAATGGACCCAGCCACCATGTGGATAGAGACCTCTCACATTAACATCTTCCCCTCCTATAATAGGGCCGCAGCTCTATCAAAACAAAATAAAGCCTTACCTCATGACTCATCAAATATTGCAAATCAAGCATTAAAAAACCTTTATATCAACCATCTTGGCTTCATGTGGAAAAAAAAAGATTTTAAGCTCTAAAAATAGTATATAATGTAATAAATTATTTAGATCGTCTATTTCAACCTAAAAATAAGTGTTTACGAATCTGCAAGATCTATACCATTTTTTTAGTTTTGAATTTCATTGTTGGTGTTGGAAATTGATTTTATAGCCATCATAAAAATTTCTATCACCGAAAGTGCTTTCCGTACAAGGATTTGAGGTGAGGGTTTATTTTGTTTTCATAAAGCCTAGACCTTATAGAAACCTTATCCTTATTTAAAAGGCCATCTCATGGCATGGCCCCTTCAAGATAATGAAGTGTGGGGATATCTTCATTTTCATACATTCTCTAGCATATTGTGTCCTTGTTCAAAAGCACAGCCCAAATCATGCACCCACTGGTCCATTAATGGTCCCTTGATTGTTCATATGAATATCTATGAAAGGGACAAACCCTTAATTGGGTTGACACCATCCCATTTTCTGATTCTCTTCCGGTTTAGAAATTAAGGGGATAAGGGTCACTAAGAAGATTTATGTTGTCCAATTGCCTGTCTCCTTCTCCAAAGAAAGCTAATTTCCCCAGATCAGCCAGTCGTCTAGGAAAGTAGTTAAGATTGGTGATTGACGATCCATATCAATCAATTAGCCGCTTCAGGTGGATCTGGTCTTAAAAGATTTTCAAAAAATTGTTAAAATTTCTTAAAAATCTAGTTTTTTTTATTTCTAAAAAAACTAAGGGTATTGCATTAGAGCAATTGTTTCATGTGGGCTGCACCGCATTTGTACGCTATGCGGTCCAAAGGTATAAAACATCCGACTCAAAGATGGATGCAAATAGGTGGTCCATTTAAAAACAATTGAAACTAACAGTCCAAATGTTTTCTTAGTAGAATTGTTATTTATACTTTTCAAAATTTATTTATTTTATCGGATTCATGATCTCCATGTTAAAGATTATATATTTTCTAAAAATAAGGATCGAATTCTATTCCAATTTTTTTTATTAAGGGGCCCGCATTTCTACATGTGCGGGCTTGGCCCTCACTGTCTTCTCATATTTCCATCAAGGGTGTGGTTTCCATAAGGTTGCAACCTTAAACAATCCATTTAAGGCGTGCCTTCAAATTTTATCATAACATATAATTTCGATGTAAAATATTATTAAGATTATCTCAAAATCTATTTTCAAATCTAATTATAAAATTTTAAACTCCAAAAATGATTAAAATCAAGTAGATCTATAAACATATGAAACTCTTGAAAATGGACGGTCTAGATAATGTGTTATAAGATGCACCATTTCTGGGACTCAAAATCTTTGTTTTTCATGATCATACATCTCGATGTCGAGGTGATCAATTAGAGGGTTTTTCAACATTAAAACAGCAGTTACTGATGAATTTTTGAGGTGCATCCTTAGTTCTATATTTTAAGGTTGCAACCTTATATAAACTTTTCCCTTCCATCAAAGTTTAGTTTAAAGGAATGTTTTTGAAGAGCGTTACCATCTCCCTAACCTTGAACACCTTTGCCTTCTTAAAGAATAAGAGGTTGCTAAAATATGATGCCATATTTTGTGAAGGGAGAGAACTGGTTTAGTCTATCAGTTGCTCCATAGCATTAGGCATGATCCAAAGCCACTAATTCTTGTTCTTCATTCAGCTTTAAAATTAAGCTTTTTCGCTATCCCCCGGAAGCATATTACTGTAAGAACGGATTAAGTTTCTCATAGTTCTATACCTTTCCATACTCCTAAAACTGAGTAGCCATTGGCAATTCTCTTCTTGAAGAGGCCATTCTCATCTTTCCCATATCTATTATAAGTACTTATTTCCACAACTAGTTTGACCTATCCCCTAGCCTCCATCGTCGTTTTGTGGGAAGAGCGTCATTGGATGATTATAGTTTCCTTATCCCCGATCCTCACTCTCTTTTAGGCAAGTATACAGTGCTCCATTTTACTATATTAAATTTTATGTTTTTTTTATGCTTCAATTTGTTAGATTATTAAGGAAGAGAAGAACCCCAAAACTCCTAGGATTACTGGCGGTATCGTAAGACTGAGTATCCTAGAGTGGAGGATTTTCCTGAACAATGAGAACTCTCTGTGTATGTATCTCCATGACCATGAAATGCCTAGTTATAGAGGGATGGAGGAGGTCATTCTCCAATGTTCGGCTTTCTCCTTAAAACTCTAAGAAACGTGTTCTGTAATCCTGGGATATGGGTGGTTATTTTCCACCTGTTAGATAATGAGACTTTCTCTCTCTAAGAAGGGCCCTTATTTAGTGATAAACATAATATTTATGATAAATATAAAATAGAGAAAAAAATAGCATGTATGAGGGCCCCATGGCCACCCATACGTACCAACATCGTCCATATGGCCATGAGGGTTAGATATATTGATATAATAACATTTAATGAACATATCCTTGTCATGAGGCTTTTCACGCTAGTCCGGTTATACATCTCATAACTAAAAATATCCAAAGTTATATCATGGGGTTTTTCATTCTAATGCGGCTTTTGCTCTCATGATCAAGACATCAAAAAAAATATCCCATTTGGGAGTTCCTGACTTAAATATTTTTAAATCCCATCAAAACTACATGCTTTGATAATATTTGTGCACTCAATCTTTTTGTTAAATGGTCTGTAATCATATCTGAAGATGGCAAATAACTTACAGTTATTTCATTCTTTTCAATAATATCATAAATATAATGATAATGAATTTCAATATGCTTACCCTTAAAACTATAAGCATCATTTCTAATTGATGAGATAACAGCCTGATTATCACAAAAACATTTAATAGGTCCGTCGACTATATCCAGCTTCAAATCATTTATGAAGCGTTTAATTTAGACGGCATAAGTTGTAGCAATACTACAAGCAATCTACTTAGCTTCCATAATATACCGAGCTATACAATCTTGTTTCTTGCTAAACCAAGAAACACTTCTATCTTCAAAGAGGAATACAAATCCTAAGGTTGATTTTCTATCATCTAGATCTTCTGCAAAATCTACATCAGAGTACTCAGAAACCTCTAAGTTGTCAGCTTGGAAGCACAACTTGTAATTTTTAGTTTTCTGAATATATTTAAGTATCTTTTTTACGGCTTGCCA